TTTAGTTTATGTTGTGGCCAAGTATGCCATTAAACTAGAACAAAGAGGACAGTGAGGAGATAGGAACATTCTACAATGTAATTTATTCCTTTCCAGTGGCAGTGGAAATTTTTCCTTCAGGCCTGAAACTGACCCCATCTGCCAACTATAAATCAGAATCAACTAACAGAGTTCTTCTAGATTAGTCACATCATAATAACATGCTGCACTTACACTGCACAAGGATCTCAAAGCACTTTACTGGCATTAAACTATTTAGCCTCACAATGCCCCAGTAAGTATTATTAAGTATTATCATCACTCATTTAACAGAGAGGAAAACATTTGCACAAAGATTTGTTCAAGGACACACTGGGGGGCAGAGGAAGGGCGTCTACAGCAGAGCCAACCCCTCCCCCACCCCGATCTCTCGAGTCCCAGTCCAATGTCTCAACTCATCCTTTCTTCCTGTTCTAGTGTAAGAGGAACCAAAGCTTAGTTCATCTAAGAACTAATGAATCATCCCAGAGAGAAGGAATTCAAATCAGACTATAAGCATCAGCCCCTATGTTTGGAATCATATTTCTTTTTATCAGAAGAAGAGATCCTGTTTCCAGTCCTCCCAGCCAATAGGACCTATGACCCCACCCCTGACAAAACTTGGGAGAATGGGAAGGGCTTGACACCCAAACTCCGCTAATTTCCGAGTTCCCCTGGAAGAGTAAAAAGCAACAAAGAGTCCTGTGACACCTTAAAGACTAACAAATGTATTGGAGCATAAGCTTTTGTGGGTGAATACCCACTTTGTCGTCACATGCGTCTGACGAAGTGGGTATTCACCCACGAAAGCTTATGCTCCAATACGTCTGTTAGTCTATAAGGTGCCACAGGACTCTTTGTTGCTTTTTACAGATCCAGACTAATACAGCTACCCCTCTGATACCTGGAAGACTGAGGCCATAAGCATGGAGACCCTGTGCCTTGGCCCATCCTCCAGGGCAGGCTCCCCTACTCTGACAGCAGGGGTCCACTTTAGTCGCACTACCAAAGTTTTCCATGCCAGAGGCTATCCCTTGGGTCCTCCTTTAAGGGGATGAGGAGCCTTGTAGAAAAAGGAATGCAGCCCCAGGCTGTTCCCTGACCTGTTCCCCCTGGTGGATCCTGCGCCCTGGGAAGTCCTTCCTAAAGCCCAACGAAGGGAGGGGTGGTTGTCATGGGGCAGCGGATGCCTCCCTCCTATGGAGCTGCACATCTTCAAGTGGATGATCCCCTCTGCACACAGCTCACCTAGTCCGGTGTCTGCAGAGGATCAGGCAGATCCCTCCGAATCCCTTCCCTCCACTGGGGGTAACATGCTGTGGATCAAAGGGACCTCCTGGCCTTTTATTGGTTGAAACCCGCTTTTCACACCCTCTACAGGTCTCGTTCGATATTCCCAGAGTGCCACATCTGGTGAATACCTCACAATAACAGGGCACGTGAACCCGGGGTTCTTTACAGCATAGGTCAGGCAGGGAGGATTCATGCCGGCTCAGGCTTCCCCCTCTGAACAGGCTCCTAACATGTAGTCAGCTCATAGGAATGGATACCAATGAAGATGGTTCAAATGAGAGCCACAGTGATGCACTGGAGGGCCATTTCCAGAATCTGTCTGAGCTACCGGGCAGTCGAAATACACCCTGGGCCTGATTTTTAAACATTCTGAGTCCCTACCACATCTATTGTCAATGAAATAGCAATATCGTGGTGAATTGTGGTTCAGATCCTGCATTCCTTGCTCAGGCAAAATTCCCACTGATCTGAGGGGAGTTTTGCCTGACAAAAAATCAGGCCTTAAGGAACTGCAACATTAGTTAACAAGAATTAGGCACCAAAGATTACACCCCACATAAAAATGTATATGAAAATAATCTAAACACACAGTGCCTTCAGATTCCATCTTAAATTTCAAACACACAAGCCTTCCCACGTTTACAATTTAAGCTATGTTCTCCCCCTCCCCCTTGAAATCCACACATATAAATACATTTTTAATCTCCTCCTACCAAAAATCTGTTCACTTTGCACTTACAGGTTGGGCTGTCTAATGACGGTCTTATTTAACTTCCAACACTAATTAAGAGAAGCACAGATATTAAACTAATAGGAACAGATACTACACTTGACCAGAGCACTTCCTCTCACTTCTGTTGCGGGGGAGGGGAGGGGAGATCAGTTGAGTGCATGCAAGTGTTTAGCAACCAGCCTGAGCCATCACTGCAATTAGTGATGCACATTTCATAATCGGAAACACTAGCAGTTGCATGCAACTGTCCCTACTACACACTTCACCAAGCAGCCACAAAACAGTAGGCCAAACTAGGGACAAAAGGAAGAAGGTTGTGTCAACAATTTCATGTAGCTTTAGGGTAAAACTATCAACAGCCCAGATGTGTCTTTATAGTATAGAAGGAGATATCACTCACAAGGAGTTTTTAAAGTGGCATACACTAACCTCTCTACTCCGAGTGTTATAAGCATGTTAAACAAGAAACAACTTTTACTGACAATGTGATAAAGAATCTTACTCTTCATCCTCACAACTATACAGTTGCCATCTTAAAAGATACTAGAATAATCTTCCAAAACACTGCTGCATTGCTGGTGGAAGAGGTAGTATTCTGGATCATTACTGTAGTATTTATATTGCACCGGGTTTTCATTTGAAGAGATGTTAGAATGATCAGTTCAAGTGCTTTCACTTAAAATTAAGGTGGCTACTTTACATTCTTGCGGGGGGCTCCATGTAATGGATTACTGCCCGGGAAGAGGAGAGGCAAAGACAGACTTTACTACTAGTTAGCTGTCTCCCAAAAGCATGGTCTCCAGATTATCACTTTTAAAGGGAAACAAATGGAAAACACACACCTCCCTGAAAGCTTTTTAACCTAAGCTTATGACAACTGAAAGAGATTAGGAGGAAAAAACCACCTCTCTTTTTCAGTTGGTTAATTTTGTACATTTGACAGCACCTTGGGCACCAGTCAGATTTACTGTTCCCTGTGTCAGCCAGTTTTCCCCCAGTTGCTTGCGTGGAGACTTCACACAGCAACAGGGGAGGAAAAACATTATAAAAATAGGATGTATTATAAAACAACAAGAATTGTCCAGGGGACTGAGGGGAAGAGGTAGCCTGTGAAAATGGTCTTAGCTCCTTTTCTAAAAATTAGCTATATTTTTTAAGTGATGGTGTTCCTTTAAAATGTAGCTGTTACAATAGGATTGCTTTGATACACTATTGCAGAAAGTGAACTGCTTCCCTTTCTTGTATGAAGTCAGGCAGCAGTAGACAAAGTATCACATACAGTATCTGCCTTAGGCATGCTGGCTATGTCAACAGATTATCTCACATTGAACTGTCTAGACTGTTATTAATATGCAACTGATTCAACAGCAAGGACAATGCAGAATTAAATGGGGATTCTAAAATGAAATCATATTAACCGCTTCAGTTTAATTTAGCATGTTAAAAGTCTAAAGGAAACCAGATGTGACCGTCACTGAGGTGCAGACTGAATATTAATAACAAAAAGTGTTTCCCCCTTTGGAGTATTAAGCAAAGTTGGACTGTCCAGTTGCAAATGAAATCTGAAAATGTTTGCCCTGTGGCTGCCAGTAAGCCTTTCATAAAAGAAAGCTGAAGCCAATATAATTTTACTAGGTAAATCTCCAAGTATCCAAGCACAGCCCAAGTAGGTAACAATGCCACAGATTGTCCTGGAGTCCTATCATCCACCCAGAAACAAAAACAAAAAATCCTACCTCCCACTTACTAGAGAACTAACACATGCTAGCCTTGCGCTGGCAAATATTGCACTGGATCAATGCAAAATGAAATCCAGCCCTCATTAGTCTTAACCTGCTTCTGTCACGGGGTATGTAAGTTACATGAGTGCCACATGCCATTCTACCCACACCTGACTATTCTTATAGACTTGTCGGTTTTTTTAAGAGACACTAACTTACAGAATGTTGACAATCTGACAAACCTGTAATCACGTCAAGCAACACAGTAGCTTAGCTTGTATCCTGCTATAATGAGGAGTCCCCTGTTTTTTCCTCCAGTATCCCAGTTGACAGTTATTTATGGTCAGTTTGTATTTGGGCTGGTCATGACTTTTACACACCGTGCCCATTTCTCTATAAACTACTCTTCCCCTTGATATTATTTAGTCATGTCACCCATCATTTTTAATGCATTCACAATACCAGATTTCCACCTTTAGAAGTACTCCAGTTCCTTCTGCATATTAACCCTATAGTGTCTCAATACACCCTGGTGGTTGAAACCAGCCTGAAGTGTTATTGTCTTAAGCCAGTTTAAGATACAAAAAGAAGTTTCATCTGTCCAGAACAATTCAAAAATAAATCATCTTTCTTATTCCAGATTTCACTTAGTGTCTTTTGCTATTGATACCATTCCCACCCCCACCACATCACTAAATTAAGGTAGGATTTTTATTGACACATACTAATTACCTGAAAAAAAAGAATGATCTATTCCGTTTCCACCAGCTGCCAGTTGTCAACACTGGCTGGAACAAGTGATCAGCCTTGTTTCAAAGAACAAAAAAAATCACTAAGCTTTACGAATAATAATAAAAAACAAAACCCAAAGAATTTCACCGGATCTCAGATACTGCCTGGTGTGTTTATATGATTGAATGCTAGGGTGACCAGACAGCAAGTGTGAAAAATCGGGACAGGGAGTGGGGGTAATAGGATCCTGTATAAGAAAAAGACCCCAAAATCGGGACTGTCCCTATAAAATCGAGACATCTGGTCACCCTATGGAATGCAGACAGCTTTGAATGGACTGCTCTGTTTCTAACTGCAAAAAAATATATTAAGGTGTTAGCCCCGCACACAAAAAAACCTCCAAATTAAGTATGAAAGAAAAATAAAATAAAATCAGAAATGCAGCCTCGACGCACCGACTGTCTGCACTTAAAAGATTGACAGGAGTAATTTAAATGGTTCACCTGCTGCCAGTTTTCCTCCAAGGATGGCAAAGCCGAGAAGTAGCCGGTGTCGTGGACAAGCTGTAGTTCCTGGAATATACTATAACTAGCCAACACATCCATGCTGCTGCTGAACAAAACCCTTTTGTTTTGTTTTGTGTTTGTTTGTTTGTGGTGGGGTTTTGTTTTTGAGCATAAAAAACAACAATAGATCCAATGTCCCTTTTTTTTGTTTTGTTTTGTTTCTGTCACACTGTACCCCCCAAAAATCAATTCAGGAAAGAGAGGGGAGGGAAAAAAAACAACCCAGTGAGAATGGCTAGATGCACCCAATATGTACAGTGCAAACAGCAGCCAGCAAAAGAGGGGGGACTCTTCCACTTGTAGTAAATGCAATTCCCTTCCAGGGCTCTAATCACTCCACTTCTTGGACCAGGAAGGGGGAATGCAAACTCACTGACACGAAACTGCCATCTATTTCTGCATTGCTGCTCGCTGCTCAGTGCAATCTTTGCTCTTTATTTTTGGGAGGTTGCATTTTTTTTTCTCGCGATCGCTTTTTTTCTCAGCCCCCATTGTCCCCCCCTTTCAAAGCCAATCCCCCCCCCGCCGCCTCAATCCTGCAAGCTCAGAGCCCCCCCTTCTCTTCGTCCCCCTCCCATCTTTTCTCCGCGCAGCCGTCAGCTCTTGAAGGAAGCTGTCCATTAAGACAACGCGTGACCATGTAAGGCGAAGAGGGGGTGGTGGGGGGAGCCCATGAAGTCACTGAAGCCCAATGAGGGCCAAAGAGAAGGGGTCGGAGGCGGAGCCTGGCACGGAAGGGCCGTGCAGATTGGATGGGGGTTGATCTTCCCGCTGCCTTACAAGGCAGTGTAAGGCGAGCTATTTTTAGAGGGCTATATAAGGGGCGCACGGCTGCGCGCGCCTGCCTGGGGATGGGAGAGGGGGTGATGGAGAGACACGGGCTCTGGCTGTGGGCGAGCAGTGTGGGGAGGTTTGCAAAGAGAGCCCCGTAAAGAGACACGGCAGGTAGGAGCTCTCCCCGTGCCCGGCTCCCACGCCGAGCTGGGCCAGCAGCGTGCACACAAAAGGACCCACAACATCACCCCCTCCCTATCCCACCAAGGGTGCACCAGGGCTCTGAAAGCTGCAGCCTCCGGTGGCATCTTAATTGCAAAAGCCAAATGTTTCGGGGAGAAGGGCTTGCTCGTTATTTACCAGTGTAAGGAGAAAAACGCCACTCTTAAAATACAAGGCACAGCCGGGAGGGGAGGGCAAAACTCCTATTCCGAAGGAAGTAGGATCTGGCTTCTGGTTTCTTTCATTTAGCTGTCTGTTCCGCCCCAGGAGGAGAGTATCAGCCCTTCTCTGGAACGTGCCACCGGGAAAAAATCTTTGACTGGAACAAGGGGAGAACATGGTGCAGAGGTAGTGGAAGAAAGACATTCAGTGTAATCAGAGAAGGAAAGCAGATAGTTAAATCCAGGCTCTCTGATTTAACCCTGTTCTGCAGACTTAGCTACAGCCAGTCTTCTGCTCGCCAGCTCCCTAACTCAGCTCTGCCCGGAGTACCATGTGAGCGCCCCTGCTTGTTTTCTTCCCAGGTTGCTCACTGAAGGGGGAGGATCTGTAGAAAAATTCCGATTCCCAGTCAACAGTTGATTGAGAGAGGGCACGTCAGACTGATGTGTAAATTGTAAGGGGTGAGAGGGGAAGACTAAATAGCGTTACAGCAGGTGTGTGAAATCTGTTGGAATATGAAGGATTTGGGAGTGAGTTTTAGACACGTGCCCAGTGTCTGTGTATATTGTAAAAAGCAACAGAGGGTCCTGTGGCACCTTTGAGACTAACAGCAGTATTGGGAGCATAAGCTTTCGTGGGTAAGAACCTCACTTCTGTTAGTCTCAAAGGTGCCACAGGACCCTCTGTTGCTTTTTACAGAGTCAGACTAACACGGCTACCCCCCTGATACTTGTGTATATTGTGGGTATCTAGCCCAAACAAGGATAATGCAGCCTCTGAGAAGCAAGAAGTGCTGAATGTTAATAAGGCTGGAATACCTCCATAAATGTACATGTATTTATTAAGTCAATAGAGATTAATCAAAGCATTTAACCAGGCTTAGCTGTTACCTGATCCTCCTGCATACTAGTTTGGGTTAGCTAGTGAGCTGTTTGACCGTAAATGGTTAGTGTGATGGCAGCTTCCCCAAATTGCTCTTGGAGCTGGGCAGAGTTGCATTTCTGCTTTTGGAATGATTGCAGAAGTGTGACTGTGCTAATTTAAAGATGATGGTTTTTTTCCAGTAATAGAAGAAATACGTTCTCTTTGTCTCCCTTAAATTCAAAGGGCCCATGAGTCCCATCAGATGCGCAGCCAGGGCCATATCCTGCCATCAGTCAGCGTGCAGAGCTCCCTCCAGTGCCCTTTTGCTAGGGACCCATGAGTGTGAGAGTTGGAATGGTTATCAACATAAACAATTTTTGCCATAGATGCTGCCATGTGCTCTCAGGCCATCTGGTTTTGCAACAGTTGCATCACCACTTTTCTGCCCCTACGTGAATAAGATGAACACATTTAGCCACCATCTATTTCTGCAACCCAACATGAGTTCCTGGGCCAGATTGTCAGCTGATGTAAATTGGAATAGCTCCACTGACTTTAGTGGAGCTGTACTGATTTACCCCAGTTGAGGATCTGGCCCCGTAAGTGTAGCTCACAGTAATGTTCAGGTATAAAGTAAACTGTCTGGCAGTAATGATTTTTGCGCGTGTTTCGTCCCCTTCCGAGTTTTTTTGCACAGAAAGAGACAATCAGGGCCAAATTATGGGGAATGCTGTTTTCTAGCACTGACTTCATATTAAATGCAATAATTCTGTAGCTGAAATTTATGTTTGGAGGAGATGTAACTTTGGATTCTGTAAATAATCATCAGGAGCGATGGGTTTGGGGGGACTATAAAATAAATGTCTTGGCACTGCGAAAGTACACATTCTTTTAGAGTGTGGGTTTGTTTTGAAAAATAGTTGGATGGTTCGTGGGCTTGATCAAAGGGTGCTCAGTCTTTCACGTCTGAAGCCTGCACAGTTCATTGGTGATGGTGAGTTACAGTTTGTTGGCAGTTCAAAGGCCTGTGTGGGGAAAAAAAGCATTGCCTTTCTCTCTCCATTCACTAGCCCATTGTAAAAGAACTACCCCATTTGGCAGAGGAGAAGAGAAGCTTTGCACTGGCTGTATCTGTACTGAAAGTGTTCTGAGGATAGAAGTCATCAGTTTCCAGGGTTTATCGGTCTCCCAGAGTAGTGACAGATTTTCTGAACACACGGAATGACGTGTCAGGTAAAGATCCTAATGAAAGGACAAGAAAAGAGAATCCCAAACCAAGAGGGTCAAATATGATAGGAAACAAGACAAGACAATTGTTACACAGCTACTGTACCAAGAAAAACCTGTTTTAGAAAAAGCTTTCAGTGAGCATTTGTCCTTCACAGATCATCTTTGGAACATGATTTCAGAGTGAGAAACTTGTAATGAAGCTGTCCTTGGCCTGTTTAAGGGTACAGAAGATGAAGGCTACTGAATTTGCACAATTTGGACTATTTAAGTCTCCATTTCTATCTACTGATTTAAGAGTTTCCCAGGGCTGAAAAAGCACTTTACACCACACCTCTAGCCTGGAATCAGGTGTGGCTTTTTAATAATTGTGAGTATCTACAATTTTAATAACAAGCAAGGTGCTGAGCAGTTGGACCCCCAGAGCTAAGGACTTCCTCTTTCACAATGATTAACCTGTGGCTTTGTTTCAGCACTTTCCATTTCTAAAAGGAAGAGAGGATCTTTTCCGTATTCCAGGCCTCCGTTTAGACCAGTTTCCCCTCTCACATACAGTCATGCCCATCTGGAGTAATACCGTTGATTTCAGAAAGGGGCGATTTCCATTCTCACTTACCCCAGTGCAGATTTGTAATGGAGTTACTCCAGATTTGTATGGGTGTAAGTGAGAGCAGAATTTGGCCTTTACGGCTTGGGGATAGATTGCTCTAAGGTCCAGGTTGTCAGTCCCTACTGACAGACGACCTTATAGGAGTCTCCTGTGATACGGTATTGATCAATTTCACTTTCTTGCCCTACCTGTCGTCAGAGATTTCTGCTTTGGATCGTCATTGTTTGTTTTGATTTTATTTCTTTCAAACTTCTCTGGCTAATACTGCACATGGAGAAATTACTATATCTCCGTCCTCCTGGAAAAGGTTGCTGTCAAGTAGGGCACTACACTGCTGGACACAAGCTGAGAATCTAGCCCGCAGTCTTTTATCAGGCTGCATGGTTACTAAAGGCCAGACTTTGCCATTAGATATAGGCATGCAGCTCCCGTTAGTTTCAGAAGGACTGCATGCTTGTAGCTGAAGGCAGAATTTGGCCTTAAGCCTTGATGTGAAGTTCTGTGCTAAGATTCTGGCCACCTGCCTGGAAATGATTCAAAGGGCATCACTCCATGGATTCCAGGAAGGTGTTTAATTTTTATTGTCTGCAGCGTTGTGGATATTCTGCTTAGACATTGGTTCAGAAAGCAGGCTCTGCCTTTCTCTTAAAGCTGGATGGGGGTTATCCTTTGACAGTGTTGGAAATGTCTGAACCTGGAACTAACATTTCGCCTACACAAGCGTCCCTGTGCAAAATGCACCATGCAACTGTGCTGGGTCAGGAGCAGTGAAGGAAGGAGTCATTAGAGAGCAGTGAAGGAAGGAGTCATTTCCTGCGCCACCCTAGCTCCAGGGGTGGTAATCTGCTACTGGTCACTACCATTAGCAAAGTGCAACTCCTCCTCCCATGACCCAGCCACACTTCCCAGCACACTGAGTGACATCGAGCTCTTACAGACTAGTTTTCATCAGTAGATCGCAAAGTGCTCAACAAAGGAGGCAGTGTTCAGATGGGGAAACTGAGGCACAGACCGGGGACGTGACTTGCCCAAGGTCATCCAGCTGTCTAGTAGCAGAGCCAGGAAAGATCCCAGGTCTCCCGAGTCTTAGCCCAGTGTTCTATTCACTAGGCCTCACTGCCTCCACAAGCCATGCTTGTGGGTGTGGAATTAGTGGGCTCACAGGCCCAGAGCCCCAGAGGTATTTAGGTACCTAACTCCCATGGGAGTAAGGCACCTAAATACATTTGAGCATCTGGACCACAGTGCCTCCATACCCTCATGGAGACCCAATGTCCAGGGAGGCTGCTCAAGAGTTTGGGGCGCAACCCATGACCCCTTGCACCCCTGCCCAGCTGCGTCATCCGAGTCACCACCTGATCCTCAGCAAATCAGATGACCACTTTGGCAATGGGAGCGGTGTGCACCATTGATTTTGATTTGCATTTTTGGCACCCAAGAGCAATGGTGGCTTTTAGTCCTGGGGTGGGGGGCGGGGATGTCTTTCCTTGGGGCCTCTGGTTTTTTGGGTAAGGACAGAGGTAAATGTTTTTTGGTGGCTACTTGAACGCCTCATCTCCCATTCTGGCACCTCAGGCAGCGACTACTACCCCTCCCCCCCCCAACCTCTGTCACGATAACAAAAATGGGCTATCTCTT